CTACGGTGGTTAGTACTTGTGCGGCCCACAAAGCGTATCGATGAAAAAAGCGTACAGACCTCAACGCAACGTGTTGTGGTGCGCAGGAAATACTACTGCGTCCGGAGCGAGTAGTGTGGTATAAACTGGAAACACGACAGGTAAGGAACAAGCCGCGGACCACATCAACGGTTTGAAACAATGTGAACGAGAAAGGGCCACGTAAAGAGGTGCCACAAGAAGAACCATGGGAGCAATTGGATATGGAGACTGTATCGCGATGTGTCTGGAAAAGATAAACGTGGTGACATGCAACGGTATACAGATGAGTTGTGTCGATGTCAAGATGGATGTGCTGACTGTCTCAACCTGTAACCCCTCTCACATCTCGGATTGTTACAGCGTGACTGCAAACCTTCGGGACTAAAAAAACTAGTTTGGCGAAAGGAGTCACCACTGAGATGCGTTTTGGTGTCGTCATCGGTACAAGACGAAGATGTTTCAGGGATAGTGTGAGTAGGTGTAAACCATGTTTGCTTCCCCCCCTCCTAGTGAAGATCAATGCCATCCGGCCACGACGTCGGATTTGGTACAGCCGGTCATGCACAGCCGAGACAAATGATGCACATGGAAGCTAAGAACGGGTCGTGGAATTCGAAGCTCGGAAACAAAGCGCCTCACAATTAAAAAATGGAGAGGAAAATGCATAAAATGAGTAGGTGGAATGTGAGTGTTGGGAGGAGCAACACCCAAACACCTCCAAATGAGTGAACCGTATGTTTCGAGTGTAGAAATCGAGCAGAGTTTCTAGTGGTTTAGGTTTGTAGAACTGCGTCGACTTATAAAAATACTGCATGAACGCAAGAAGCAGTCTGGAAGTAAAGGGTACTCACCAAAACCCTTCTATTCATAAGTAACACAAATTCGCCCTTACGGATTCCATAAATGCTATGTCGATTCATTGCTGCCGTAACCGGGAAGTCCTGACACCGGAAGGCCAACCGCTGTCATCTGCATGGCAGTGGAGGATGGGTCGGGCTATATCGCAGTTAGCTAACAATTCATGATGGTCGGCTACCGTCCTCCATGGAGCAGTTGCTGCGGGCTAGTTGGCAAGAGCCACTAGCAGTCATGGGTTCGATCCTCTGCAGAGGACCGAAGGATGCGACCACTGACGGGCCCCAACAGGGCGAAACGGCGGTCTGGTGCTTTTCCGGCTAGGTAGTTGACTTGTCTGAATTGTCAGCTGAATGCGACGAGCAAAAATACTTACCAAAATCCTTCTACTCATCAGTAAAGTATGGTATAGTTTGAAATGAACCTTTTATGACACCAGTTGTGGAACATTTCTGACACGTCATAGATTCCCCATCATCAGAAAGATCTGAAAGAGAGCGGCAAGTTATAGCACTGCGTTACAGTCCAATCTTTGAGTTGCGCATCTAGGATGCAGTCTGAGTAATCATGATCGGGAGACACTATGATGGAAGGGTCCTTGTTCAAGATATTAGTTCACTGTGGTAGTGGCCCGAGTTTGTCCAATGATGCGTTGCAGCTTCGTTGTGTGGCGTCACCAGTTCAAATCGAATTCACACCTCACTGAAAGATTGCTCACACCTCGTGTGTGGGAAGGCATAATTGTGGGAATCCACAGTGAGAGGCCTTGCGACTCGCGTGAAGCTCTAGCCACACAGCCAGCTAACAACCCAGGCCAGCCGTTTTAACTTGCCGGGGATCGGCAGTGTAAGGATTCAAGTAGTTGACCTTCAATCTCTATGTCACAGGTTTTAGACCCCCATCCCTGCATGAAACTGAGCGCTCCTGAAGTATTCCAACCCGCGTGCACGGCAGTGAAGCATCGATATGCTGTACTGGTGTACAGTGTTGACACAGTTTTAGCAAGGGGAAGCGATATGCATGATTCTGGCACAGCAGTGGGCACCCAGTGTGGAAGCGTCCGAGGACACATTGGTCACATAGTTAAAAACGTAGGAAAACGAGGTAACAATGAGCCACCACATTCACCGTGTGGCGGTGCCCTATAGAACTGAATACAACCATCAGAAGCGGCTGGGCAAAAGTTCCACAGTCAAAAGAAGCTTTGTGGCATGGCTTTAACAGACGGAAAAAGCGCCACAAGCAAAAGCAACTAAGCGAAGCAAAAGCCGTCCTCAGCCAGAGGAAAGCAATCGGGTAAGTAGTCGTTAAGAGCGACAGTAGTTAGGCTTTCGCTAGATAATTGTTGAAACGGCAATCCATAAATGCAGTAACACCCTGCGATCAAAGAATGTGTGGCACATTGGTCCAATTTAACGGATGCCGCTTGCCAGAGTACTGCTCTTGACCCCATTCAGAATTAACATCATCATCATCTGACAATCTAGCACAATTTCTCCATAGCATGATGTGACGGGATTTGAGTGTGATAGGTGGAGTGGTGATCGCCACACCGCCCCTAGGTACGAAGTATACGCAGCATTACATCAGCACTCCGCAATGGTGGTTCGCTTGCAAAAAGTCGAACAACAAAATCCGGATCGTGGCATCGTAAATGCGTCCAATCCCATACGAGAGCGGGGATTCCGACAAATAGTGGATTGACGCTGGAAGCACATGATATGATCGATGTGGAGCCATAGGGAAGCTAAGTCAAATGGAACAAACACGTCTGTAATTCATTTAGTTAGTTGGTAGAGTCATCAAGAAAAATGCGATTGATTTGAGAACACAGATTGCATACAATTGGCACCGGATATGCCATGGGTCAAGGATTAGTTGGAATACTGATTTGTTTGAAGAAAACATAACCACTCAAAGCTAAGTGATTCTCACCTGTGGTGAAATCGAATTTGGCCAACTGGAGTGCGTAGATTTCACACTCCTTTTTACTGAAGCTGAAAACAATTATCGGTTCCAGACTCCGATGTTTGAGAAGCCGAACAATTTGAACCACGTTGTCTTCGGAGCCTGTGGAGTAGGGAGGGGGGGTTAAAGAAGCTTTACAAGATGAAAAACTAGTATGGTGAATGTGAAATCAACCGCAGTGCAAAAGGGTAAAAACAACGCTGTGTTCAAGTCCATGTGAAACACCAGTTACACGACAGGGAAGAAAAAAGTCAGTGGCGCTGCAACATGAGTTCAAGAAACGATGTACGCGTCACTGTCGTACTCAACGCTGTAGCAAGGTTTAGTTCCGATGCGAAGGTTATACTGTAGTGTATGGTTAAAAATCGCCGCCAAATGGAAAAGGAAACAATCACTGAGATCGAAACCATTTAGTCGGTGGTTGATGAGCACACGAAGCAACAAGGTCCATCATATCCAATTGAGTTAAGAGATGAGATACTCATGGAAACTGCAATGCGGGCACGAGATAGACAATGAAGTGGAATATTAAGATAACTAAAAGGCTGCTAAAGAGAGTTCCTCAAACCTAGAGAGGCCGCAGGGCTTAACTCGGAAAATAGGAAACAATATCGGGACTCCGTCAAGTTTGTTAAAAACCGCCAAAATAACAGACGGTGAGAGAAATGTTGGGTGGCGTATGGACGGCATAAGAGGCAAGTCAAAGAAAGCATAATGCTGATAAGGCAATGAGGGGTGATAAAGAAACGCTGATTGATCATAGGGTCGGGGCAACAATTATCGATATTTGCACACAAGTCAGTGGAGAAGAGAACAGGTGTTATCGGTATTCAAAGAGAAAACGACAGATGAGAACAGCATAAGCGCAGTCTGTATGTATGGTAGGGGTGCTTTATACCGTACTATTTATCATTTACAAAACGCCATACAGGAGTGCTCGACTTACGTTTATTGCTTGCGACCCTTCTCTTGTCCATATTCCCAGAACCGAACGATCGCATACCTCTTGTGAAATTATCTTCTAGATATTTCCCCTACAGAAGACCAAAACACATGAGAACAAAGAGCGACAATGGCCTGACGGTCAATAGTTGTTTGGTAAATAACATGGGATATGTAAAAAAGTCAAACTGTGCGTTAAAGTAAGCAAAACCAAAAGGAAAGCACTTGGAGGTGCGCCACAGAAAGGCAAGTTAACCAAAAATTAGTGTATGCGGCGGCCATTCGATTAAGGCCATCGTGACGAGACTGGGTATTAATGTGTGTTGCGACGATCTGCGTACCTATTTGACCTTTTTGAGCTATATTGAGTGTGGCCCTGGGCCCCTTGAGAGCTACTCCTATCAGGATGTAAAATGGTTAGACGAAATCACCATGATCACCATTGTATACGTTAGCAAGGGTGGGAAACACCTCAGCTGTTGTACCGCAATACATAAAAGGAATAAAAATATGCAACAGAGGCATGCCAGCTGAGCTACTGGGAATGAATGGATGTTGTTCCGGAAAGCTGATAGCCGGCTATTTCCCGAAAAAAATGTTATTGTGTCAGAAACGGGATTTCGGTTGGAGGGGGTGGACAAAGAAACTCACAACACAAACGCCACAGAGATCGGCTCTTAGCTATGTCAACAAACTGCATCTAACCAAACTTGTTCATCGTTTTGCGGACCCCAAACAGGGAGCGGAGATGCACCAAGCGAACTAAGGGCCTTCACCTTCCTTGACCAAGTCATCGATTGGCCTCCTCTTCTTCCATCCACATCCCAGCGTGTAAACAACGCAGGTCGCGAGGGTCGGCGGGCTGGCATACGCAACACGATGGTCAAGCCATCGGAGCCTGGTGCGTGAAATAACGGTGCTGACCGATTCGCTTCCTCTTCCTGTGCCCTAGACAAGACGTCGAGCACGCTCATTGCGCACGCGATGTTCCAACCAGATACGAGCCAAACTGCGAAGGCGCTGGTGGTCGAACGTAACTAGGCTCTTTATGTTTGCCGAGCTAATGGGACAGTTTCCACAACCGTAGAATAGAGGCAAACGCGCGGCTGCACTGTGAACCATACTCTTCAAAGAGTGATGTCGCGCCGACGCCAGGGGTGGCAAATGCTAGCAAAAGCGTGTTGCTCTTTTCCTATACGACTCGCGACCTCATCTTCAGTTCCGCTGGTGCTGATATAGCTGCCTAGATACTTTAATTCCTCGAAGATTTCAAGTCGATCCTTACCAAGGGTCAGCGCAGAAGCGGATCCCTGCCAATCTTGGAGGACTTTACACTTCGAGGGTAAAAAGCATGGAATGAAACAACTGGCAGTCAATACAAATTTGTTCAGTGCTACTTGGCACGTTTGAAAGTTATCACAGATAAGGACAATGTTGTCGGCATACTCCAAGTCAAGAAGTCGGTAGACTGGGAACGGCTGTACGCGTTGCAGATCGTGTCCTGTGAACGCGATCTCCATGACTTCGTCAATAGCAAAGTTGAAGAGGAAAGATGACAGCAAGCATACTAGTCTTACACTGCTGGAGATATTGAAGGGCTGCGACAACTTGCTTTAAGCCCTCATCCTGCCCTAGCTACCCGCGTAAAGCGCGCGGATAATGTTTATATATTTCTCGGGCACACATTTCTCTAGCACAGTCTCAAAGAGCATGTCAATTCACTGAACCGAAGGCACCTTTGATGTTGAGGAACACGACAACGGTGGGCGGCTAACATATGTGATGGTGCTCCAACAGTTGACGTAAAGAGGTGATCGATGCAGTCCCGACCTCACGAATCTGGCTTTCAGGGGCGCCAGTCAATCAGTGAAGGATGAGAGATGCAAGTTACTTGGAGGCAATGGAGATCAGATTGATTTCTCTATGGTTGTCGCATTCCGAACGTGAGCCCCCCTTGAAGATCAGTACAGCAACGGAGCGGCTCCAGTCGGTTGGGACAGTTTCCTGTTCCCACAGTTCCACTAATAACTCTTGTAAACCATCCACAAGAGCAGGTCTCCGAATTTGAAGAGGGCCAGAGGAAGACTATCTGGTCCAGCGACCTTGTTCAACTTCAGTGGTCTGATCTCAACTTCGACTTCTGAGCGAGAAAAACGGATTCAAAGGGACAGCCTACGGAGCAGGATGATCAATGGCCAGTAGGAAATTTGACAATTCCGGCCGATAAAATGGTTTTTCAAAACACTCAGCACAACGCTCCAAGCATTTTGACAAGTTGTGCATAGGCTGCCCACTCTCATAATAATTAGTTTCACTAACACCAGGTCTCCTGCTGCCCGTCTCCCATATCAGACGGATTAACTTCCGATAGTTACCAAGGCCCCGTAGCTTAGAGGTAACGAGCTTGTCTCGTAATCTTGCGGCGCGGGTTCGAATCCGCGTAGGGGTGGGCATCCTTGCGGTATACTAAGCCCGCGTGCGATTGGTTGTTGTCGCACGGTAGCGAAGTGCCGTTACAGCGTACAGCTGACACATTATATTGATATTATTACCAAGGGCAGTGACCACTTCCATCTCCGACGCACGATGAGACCACAAGGATTCGCAGTCGCTATACAGACTAGCACACAGCTTTGCCCTGAGGTCTATATGAGTCTCGTGTTCGCTCCCATCATCAATGTGCCGGCGAGCATCGATAAGTTCGAGAGACTGCGTATATACCCAATGACCAGGTTGGCTATCAAAATTTACCACATGAGGATTCACCTGCTTCTAAAGAGGTCCAGTTAACATGCGACCAGTGATCAACTGTATTCAGTGAGCACTTGCTCAACCCGGATGTCAATGTACTTTGATACGCATTCAAAATACCTGGCTTTGCCAGCTGGCTGGTGTCGGCACGCTCACAGCGTCGTCGAACGAGTCGGCCAAACCACACCAGCAGATCAGCACATACAAATGCATGGTCAGTGTCCACACATGTGCTCCAGATCCAGCGACCTTTTCGGACGCAGTCTCTCCAGCGGTAACTGATCGTGATATGATCGATCTGCAACCACAGCGCTGCGTCACCCTCCGGCGGGTGCTTTGTTAGAAGTTAGTGCTCGCAAGAAATAAGCGGGCATCTTCACACAAATGAAATAACCGCCCAACCTTATCATTACGGGAGTCTTGACCGTGTTAGTCAACCAGTTGCAGCCCATAAGTGGACAATTCACCAACTCGAGTGTCCAGATCCCCAGCCAGTAATACAGTATACGTGTTTCTTCTGTGGCGAATTAGCTAGTTCAGTTAGCGACAGAAGTCTTCTTTCACTGAGTCGGCGATGCAGGTTGTAGGCACGTAGGCCGCAATAACAAACAGGCAACGTTTGTCTGCGCACGACTTCGAAGCTTTGAACGAGCCAGCCAGTCAGACGGCACACACCCAGCTGTTCACTGAGATCCAATCAACCAGAGCATCTTCAGTGCTAGGACTCAGGGCAATACCAACACCGGCTTGGCCGGCACTCGAAGCTGCACCATCTTCGGACAGACGAAGTGAGAAAGCGCTGCTAGTGTCATCTGAAGGGGATAGCAAAGCGAGCACGGAGCTCGAGTCCAGCAAGTGGATTTCCGGTAGACAGTGGATATCGGTCGAGAGGGTCTCTAATGTTCGGGCAAGTGCTGACTGTTGACCGATCCGTAACAATGAGCGTATGTTGAGGCATGCGAATCTGAAAGAGAATCGAGGGCTCCAAACAGAAGCTGAGGAGCTGGACTTGTCCGCTTAGTTGGAAATGATCTTGTCGACAAGGCATAAGTGACGCTTCGCGTTTGCATGTAAGTTGAAACTGGAAGATAAACGACTCGGCAATTAACCTCTGGAGCTTCGCTTGTAAACGGGAAGCAATCGAAATCCCTAAAGCGGATAGGTAGGTGAATAGAACGGAAGGGATGGAACTCTCGACCGCGTGGAGAGCAATCTTAACCCAGGCCAGTCCGACGAACGTCGATACGCTGGGCAGGCTGAAGAGCAAAAAGGTGACATAATCATCATATTCACCAAGGCATTGATTGACAAAATGACGAACAGTGAAACTCCGACAATAACCCCATCCTGAGAGACCAATTGAGTTAACATTTCCATCCGTGCCTGTACGTCTCTTGACTCATATCTCAGTTGTCACGATCATGTCCGTTACTCACCATAAAATGCCACACCAACTATGCACCAATTCACCTGGCCTGACGTAGGTTTTGTGCCAACAGCGAAACGTCGCCAACTGAATGAAAAAGCATCAGCAGTAGGCCGGTACGCAGTACCGACGCTTCGCTGCAGCGCAAACACCGCTAGTCGCACCTGAGCTAAGGATACGACGAAGGTCGCCCTGCCCCTACGCAGGCCCGAACCCGCGCCGTCAGATCACAAGTCAAGCTAGTTACTTTAAGGCTACGGGCCGGCTGCCAACTAAATAAACTAATCGATGGTCCACAAATCGCCGCAAAAGCATGACTCCTGTATGGGTTCTAAGTATATTACAAGAGTTCAAGGGCGAACTTACCTTCAGCATAAAGCAAGGTGGATAAGCACAAACACGCTACTGCTTGCGTCAGCTTTCGTTTTTTATCCACCGGTTTCTCTTACTCCCGTTCCAACCCCCATTACTAACCCTCCTTTTATAATCCCGGCATAAATGACAACATGCATAATGACACAGGAGTCGATCGATCTACAGTCAGCTTCCCGCAGCAAACACTGGACACCTATCCGCATCAAGCCCTTAGAACGTCACATTGTCCCGTTTCATCGGTAAGAACTAAACGTTCGCAATCTAAGAGAACTAGATCAAGAGGCTGCACTTGCACGCACGTTGGACACACTGGGCATTGACGTGGGTTGCCAATTCGAAGCAAGGATCAATGACCCAAACGGTGTTGTTTGAATTAACAGCTCACACTTTATCCTCTCGCTACTGGCTACACGCATTCGGAGAGGCTGATGCGGCAATGACTGATTAATCTAGGGTAGGCATCACTCTAAGTTCCAAGTTCGAGTCATTGTCCATCACCATCATAACCGTCAACAGCAGTACATCATCCACTTGAACTGA